GACACGGAACGCAGACGCATCGCCGACCTTCCCAGTCCACAGCAGAGCTGGGGAGGTACGGACCTTCCCTAGCCGGGAAACCCCGGGGTGAAGGTTGATCTGATGCGCCGCGTACCGAACCGCAAACGGCCACAGAAAATGGGGGGCAGCCGCATGCATCATGGACGTACGAGCAACGTCCATGACCATGCCAATGCGGCGCTCAGCAATCCCATTTTGCTGCGGAGAGTCCGGAAGCGTAAAGGTCTGGCGGATGCCTCGTGCACGACAGTAGGCTCGTAGAAGGCCAGAGGAAAACTCTCCGCCTCTGTCAGAGTGCAGACGCAGAACAGGAAAGTCCGAGCCGAAGCTCCTCCTGAGCTGGAGACGAGCTGCGCGGATCCAGTCGATCAGCACCTCAGTGACATCACCCTTGCTGCGCAAGGGGAAGACTGTGGTGTAACGCGAGTAGTCGTCAACCACCAGCAGGAAGTAGCGCTCGTGACCCTGCCCACGGACGCGGGCCGGGCCCCACACGTCCATGTGAAGCGTCTGCAGAGGAGCCTCTGTCGGAGGAAACTGGGAGGAGAGGGGGGCAGCCCGAAGCCGCCCCTCGACACATGGGAGACAGGAAGGTCCTGGCCCCGAAGGAAGGGGAGGGAGAGACCGGGGGAGACCAGAGACAAGGACACGGGAAGCCATGTCCCTAAGACGAGGTGAGGAGGGGTGGCCAAGACGGTGGTGCCACAGGAGAGTCTCGTGAGACAGGAGGCGACACGAGCAGGGGGCAGACTCAGGACCAGACCTGGAAGCAGCAGCAAACACCTGACCCGACGCAGCTACCTGGCCAGACGCAGGGACAGGAGGAGACGCAGTGGTCAGGGTGTAGAGACTCGACCCCGGCCGACGTGAAAACGTGGCCAGGTGTCAGCCTGTGCGGGCGTCCGAGCAGTGGGTCACCCTCTGACTCGCAGGAGTAAACTGGTGAGCCCCCGCATCCTGCAGGTCAGCACCACTCACCAAGTTCGTCGAGAACAAGGGGAGGTACAGACCAGGCAGGGTGCCCGAGGGGGCAGCCGGACACGGGAGGACAGTGGAGAAGTGAGAGAGGACAGGACCCCCAGAGGGGTCAGCCACGGAGACCGCAACAGGTCGACCAAGCGGCGTGAGTGTGGTGCGGTCCCGAAAGAAGGAGCGAGAAGCCCCGGAGTCAAGTGTGAAGGTGAGGGAGGCCGAAGCCGACGCGGTACCTGAGAGCGCAGCCTCACCAGTACCTGAGAGCGCAGACGCGGTGGCACCTAGAGCAGCAGTCTCACAAGCACCTAGCGCAGCAATACCAATGCCCGGGTCGGGCGGGAAACACCGGTAACAGTCACCCTCATCACTAATAGACACAGCATACATGGCAGCAAGGATAGCATCAAAGTCAAGATCAAAGATCGCTACGCCAGCCCTAGACAGCTCTCCCCAGCAGGGAATCTCACTAGCCTCGGGGAACTGCAGACGCCAAGCGTCCAACAGGCAGCCAAAGCAGCGCTGGGTGGAGTGGGCACCCCCACACTGCTCACCCGCGCGGTCGACGGAACGAAGAACGTAGGTGCACGGGCCAAAACCCCCACCACGCTGACGCTGCGTGTACCACTCACGGAGCTGCTGAGGAGGGGGGACGTCCCGAGAACGCTGCTGCTGGCGCTGGCCACCACCAGAGCCGCTCCGCTGCGGGGCACTACCCCGACCGGCTCCACCTCCTCCGCCACCGGCGCCTCCACCTCCGCCACCACCGCCGCCTCCGCTCCCACCGCCGCCGCCGCCACCGCCTCCGCCTCCGCTGCCGCAGCCACCGCCTCCGCCTCTGCTGCCGCCACCACCGCCACCACCCCCGCCACCACTCCCGCCGCCACCCCCACTCCCTCCGCCGCCTCCACCGCCACCTCCACCGCCCCCGCCAGCTCCACCCGCGCCCTTGCCCCCTTTGCCCCTGCCAGGGCGGCGTCTCCCGCTAGGGGCAGACGCCGCGCCGACCGACTCAAGACCAAGCAAGTCGGCAGCAGCAGCAGAGGGAACAGAGGGCAGCAGGGGGGAAGGAGAACACCCCTCAAAGATGGGGGTGCGCGGGTCTCCACGAGAGGCTCCTACAGCGATTATGCTCTTCTCTGCCGCTAGGAGGGCCTTCTCGAGGAGGTCAACAGTGAAAATGGTGGGACAGACTAAGAGGAAGTGGTCCCTGACTACGCGAAGGGAGTCAGGGAGGCGAGTGACTATGTAATAGAGAGCGATGTACATGGGGGGGGGGGGGGTTCTTGGCGCAGAATTCAGCAAGAAGGGTGGCGCGGTAGCGGGTGTCACTAGTGCGGAGGTGCGTAATGAGGTCAGCGACAGTGGGAAAGGCAGTAAGATCAGGAAAGAGGTAGGGAAGCATGAGACGGCTCAGTGCAGCAGTGGCAGGGGAAGAGTAGTGCGCAACTACAGCGTCGTACAAGGTCTGAGCACTCTTGTACTGACTAAAGTGCGCGTGCTCAGTGGTAGGGACGTGGCGACGCACAGCAAGGCGTGCAGCACCATCGCGGGTGGCCCACTGAGAGCGAACAGTGGGGCCAGCATCAGCAGCAGGAGCAGGAGAGGCGCCAGAGGTGAGGTCAAAGAGAGAAAGACCGTCTGCCCTATCGCACTGTAAAAACAGCTGCAGGTTGTCGACCTAGACCTCAAAGTCAATGGCTCGACCCTCAGCGTCAAAAGCGAGGACACTAGGGGTAGCCATGACGACAGACTAATAGTGCAAGCAGTGGGGGTAGGGCACGCAGCAGTAGTGGGGCGTGCTCACCAGACAGGGCAGGACAGACGGCTCGGCAGAAGGGCGGCTCGGCTGCAGGGCGGCTCGGCTGCGGGGCGGCTCGGCGGCTCGACAGCAGGGCGGCAGGGCGGCTCGGCGGTCGGGCGGCTCGGCGGCTCGGCGGCTCGGTTGCTGGGCGGCCCGGCTGCACAGCGGCTGGGCGGCTCGGCTCCTCCGGTACTCGGTGGCGCGGTGGTCGGCTGCTCGGGTGCACGCGGCAGGGTGGTGCCGTGGGCGAGGAGAGCGGCCGGGCCGCTAAGCAGGGCGGCGGGGCCGCGAAGGAAGGGCGGCGGGGCCGCTGTAGCAGAGCGGCGGGCCGCTTAGCAGAGAGCGGCGGGGCCGCGAGAGCAGAGCGGCGGGGCCGCGAAGGACGGGCGGCGGGGCCGCGTTAGCAGGGCGGCGGGGCCACGAAGGAAGGGCGGTGGGGCCGCTTAGCAGAGGGCGGCAGGGCCGCGAAGTGCAGGGCGGCGGGGCCGCGAAGGAAGGGCGGCGGGGCCGCGAATGAAGGGCAGCGAGGCCGCGAAGTGCAGGGCGGCGGGGTCGCGATAGCAGGGCGGCGGGGCCGCTTAGCAGAGGGCGGCGGGGCCGCGCGAGCAGAGCGGCGGGGCCGCGAAGTGTAGGGCGGCGAGGCCGCTGTAGCAGGGCGGCGGGGCCGCTTAGCAGAGGGCGGCGGGGCCGCGAAGGAAGGGCGGCGGGGCCGCGTTAGCAGGGCGGCGGGGCCGCGAAGGAAGGGCGGCGGGGCCGCTTAGCAGAGGGCGGCGGGGCCGCGAAGGGCGGCGGGGCCGCGTTAGGAGGGCGGCGGGGCCGCGAAGGAAGGGCGGCGGGGCCGCGTAGCAGAGGGCGGCAGGGCCGCGAAGTGCAGGGCGGCGGGGCCGCGAAGGAAGGGCGGCGGGGCCGCGAATGAAGGGCGGCGGGGCCGTGAAGTGAAGGGCGGCGCGACGGGCCGCTAGGGGCGACACGAAGGGTCGCTAAAAAAAAAGGAAAACGCGCCTCGGGGCGCGCTTCGGTGGGCCCTAGAAGCAGTCCCTAGGAGGGAACCTGCTCTGATTCCATGTGAAACAAAGAACGCGAATGAATGGACTATGAAATGAGTGAGTACAGGTACCAACCCTGATTGGGTTGTACCCCCTATGGGATACCCCACTATAGCCTACACAACAGCATAAGCTATAATGTTCTGACAACTTCTTTAATTGCAATGTATCTGTTATGCTTTTCGTTGAATGCCTTCGATTATGCTTACATTGCCCTTCTTTCACTATATCCGTTAACACTGTATCCGTTAAGTATATGTATGTAGATATTTTGTGAAATTCTAGTATTGTTCGGATTACAAGTAACTGTTTTTTTTATGAATGTATCATGCGTTCTTAGTAATATTGTGGTTACATTGGAGGAGCTACTTAAGATTCTATGTCTGGCTTAGAGTTAAAGTGTAAATTTTTTTGTTTTGTTTTTTCCCATCTTAATGTTCCTTTCCGCTGTAACGAATCTACTGATGGATACTATAATTTGAGAGAATAATTCTCAGCCTCAAAGCACCGCATCTCACGGTTCATCATTCTGCCAACAAAACACGTTTCGGGGCCACAATTATTGGTGCCCCTCGCAAGAATCGCGCTAGAATGCTATGCACCATTTCATACCTTTGACTAACTATAATTCCACGCTTTGAACCCCTTTTTATCGCACTGTCAGAGGTTTCACTATCCAAACTCTGCATTATAAAGTGCGCGACTCCGTCACTCTTCTATCCACGCTCTACCCATCTCTGAAGTTCCATTCGGAATTCACTCGACATCTAGGCAGCTCTGTGTTCTGAAGCATGAATCTGGCTTCCATTGTAGAGGTAATGCAACAATAGCAACCGCATCGTTGCCTTAGTAGCCGCGTCCCGCGGTGCGTCGAAAATAACCTAGCTCCTAGTGTGGGAAGCAGCGATTTAGCACCAAGCGGCGTTTCTCCGTCGCCGCTGCATGCGACGATAAGGCCAGAAGAACACCATAAGCTGCTAATTTCTGATTTTCCGGCGGATTGCACGACAGAAATTCCAGAAGCAACCCCGCAAAAGACTGGGACATTGGCGAAAGCGGCTCAGCAGCGACACGGGCCGCAACTCGATAGGCTGCGACAAGCACGGCATAGAGAGGTGGCGTACGGTGAGGCGGTGTCTACATATTTTGAGCGGAGCATGGCGCAACAAGCGACGCCTGCGTCCGGCGACGACTCGACAAGGTAAGCTCTCTCGCCGCCATTACCTCTCTCTCTTCCACATTCCTACCCCTCCTCATAGTGCACCTCGGTTCTCTATCTTTGCATCTCTCTCCCCATCTCCCCCCGCATTCTCTCTCTCTTGCTCTGTCGCATTCTCTCTCTCTCGCTGCCGCATTCTCTCTCTTGCCCTGCCGCATTCTCTCTCTCGCTCTGCCGCATTACCTCTGTGGCACGCTCTGCCGCATTCTCTCTCTCGCTCTGCCGCATTCTATCTCTCTTGCACGAACGTATTATCTCTTTCGCTCTGCCGCGTTCTCTCTCTCTCGCTGCCGCATTATCTCTCTCGCTTTGCCGCATTCTCTCTCTCGCTTTGCCGCATTCTCTCTCTCGCTTTGCCGCATTCTCTCTCTCCCCCTGCCGCATTCTCTCTCTCACTCTACCGCATTCGCTCACTCTCGCTCTTCCGCATTCTCTTTCTCGCTCTGCCGCATTCTCTCTCTCGCCCTGCCGCATTCTCTCTCTCGCTCTGCCGCATTCGCTCACTCTCGCTCTTCCGCATTCTCTCTCTCTCGCTCTGCCTCATTCTCTCTCTTGCCCTGCCGCATTCTCTCTCTCGCTCTGCCGCATTCGCTCACTCTTGCTCTTCCGCATTCTCTCTCTCTCGCTCTGCCGCATTCGCTCACTCTCGCTCTTCCGCATTCTCTCTCTCTTGCTCTGCCGCATTCTCTCTCTTGCCCTGCCGCATTCTCTCTCTCGCTCTTCCGCATTCGCTCACTCTCGCTCTTCCGCATTTTCTCCCTCTCGCTCTGCCGCATTCTCTCTCTCGCCCTGCCGCAGTCTCTCTCTCGCTCTGCCGCATTTGCTCACTCTCGCTCTTCCGCATTCTCTCTCTCTCGCTCTGCCGCATTCTATCTCTCTCGCACGAACGCATTATCTCTTTCGCTCTGCCGCGTTCTCTCTCTCTCACTGCCGCATTATCTCTCTCGCTCCGCCGCATTCTCTCTCTCGCTCTGCCGCATTCTCTCTCTCGCCCTGCCGCATTCTCTCTCTCGCTCTGCCGCATTCGCTCACTCTCGCTCTTCCGCATTCTCTCTCTCTCGCTCTGCCGCATTCGCTCACTCTCGCTCTTCCGCATTCTCTCTCTCTCTCGCTCTGCCGCATTCTCTCTCTCGCCCTGCCGCATTCTCTCTCTCGCTCTGCTGCATTCGCTCACTCTCGCTCTTCCGCATTCTCTCTCTCTCGCTCTGCCGCATTCTCTCTCTCGCCCTGCTGCATTCTCTCTCTCGCTCTGCCGCATTCGCTCACTCTCGCTCTTCCGCATTCTCTCTCTCTCTCTCTCTCTCTCTCTCTCTCTCTCTCTCTCTCTCTCTCTCTCTCTCTCTCTCTCTCTCTCTCTCTCTCTCTCTCTCTCTCTCTCTCTCTCTCTCTCTCTCTCTCTCTCTCTCTCTCTCTTTGCCGCATTCTCTCTCTCGCCCTGCCGCATTCTCTCTCTCACTCTGCCGCATTCGCTCACTCTCGCTCTTCCGCATTCTCTCTCTCTCTCTCGCTCTGCCGCATTCTCTCTCTCGCCCTGCCGCATACTCTCTCTCGCCCTGCCGCATTCTCTCTCTCTCTCTCCCTGCCACTCTCACGCTACCTCCCTCTGCCACTCTCGCATCCCCGCTCATTGCCGCTCTAGCTCTCTGACGGCCCCACTTGCTCTGTCACACCCTTTTCCCTCATCTCCCTGGCCAGTACACCGTAGGAGAAGGCTGCCTGTTGGAGCAGCGGTGACACACTGAACACTCCTCGTGGAGCGAAGATTTGTTCTGTTCCCTGTGTCATTCGTCAAGGTATCTCAAAACAACAACCCCCCCCCCCCACCACCTCTCCTAATTTCCTATCTTGCCCCATGCACGCCCTCTCTGTCCCATTCACTCCCACTCTGCCCGTCTCACTCCCTCTCTGCCCCATTCACTCACGCTCTGCCCCATTCACTCCCTCTCTGCCCCATTCACTCACGCTCTGCCCCATTCACTCCCTCGTTGCCCCATTCACTCCCTCTCTGCCCCAGTCAGTCCCTCTCAGACCCATTCCCTCCTCCTTTGCCACGTTCACTCACGCTCTGCCCCATTCACTCCCTCTCTGCCCCAGTCAGTCCCTCTCTGACCCATTCCCTCCTCCTTTGCCACGTTCACTCACGCTCTGCCCCATTCACTCCCTCTCTGCCCCATTCACTCACGCTCTGCCCCATTCACTCCCTCTCTGCCCCATTCACTCACGCTCTGCCCCATTCACTCCCTCTCTGCCCCATTCATTCAGATGAGCTACCGCTGCCCTGCCTGCAAGGTCAACACCTTCTTGACCCAACAGGGCATGGAGAGTCACATGCGTAGCTCAAGCTGCCCTGCAAAGCGTGCAATGACATCTACGCCGTACTTCACAAGTAACCCTGGGTTGCATAAACGCCCTCGCATACCCACCGTAGCACCCAATCCTATTCCCACTGCAGTTGCTTCGACTTCAGCCGTGCCCATGACAACCCCTCTTCACGAACATCTACAAGCTTTTCCAGTGCCATGTACCGGGGGTGATTTTCTGACAGAGGTGCATTTGGATGATAGTGCTTCTAGCAACGTCAGTTCTAGTGATTCCGAGAATGCAAGTTTACCATGTGATGTAGATGATTATATCGTGCGGGACGACATTCAGGAGGGAAGTGATGGGAACGTGTTGCCTGATAACGTAGGAGCTGCAACGTCGCCCGAAACACCCTTCAACGGCAGGGATGCATTCGCGCAATGGTTGCTAGCCAACAATATCTCCCAAAAGGCAATCAAAGCCTTGTTTGACATTCTCTTCCACCATGCATTTGAGATCTCTCAGCTGACACGATGGAAGTCTGCGCGCGATGTCCAACAGTACGTCGAATCACGGACCCCGGATAAGCATCGTGGGTGGAGACGCAAAACCGTTCGAGCGGGGAACAAGGCGTGGCTCGAATATTGGTACTACGATGGACTGGTCGCTCTTCAGGATCTACTTAAGGACCCCAAGCTCGCTCCAATGATGAGCATGGAGGCTCGCGTCGTTAAAGATGGCACCATGCGAGTTTACTCAACACCCGAAACCGCGCTATGGTGGGAGGAGCTTCAAAAGAATATACGTGAAGTCAACCCGAAAGGTGTTGTCGCTGCTCTCATTCTTGCAAGTGATGAGACCCATATGGATCAGCGTGGGAAGGCTAAAAGGCATCCCGTGTATTTGACACTGGGAAATATTGACAAGGACGATAGGTGGAAGCCCTATGGGCACGTCTTGCTTGCCTTGCTCTCGGAGTATCCCTAAGAGTATGATTCCCTAGATAGGACGCTGATCTTCCATTATGTCATGAACGAGGTGCTAGCGGGGTTGAAGCGTGCTTCTCATACGGGTATAGATATGGTCGACTCGGCGGGGAAAACAATCAACGTGTGGCCATCCATGTATGCACATGTCACGGATTACCCAGAATCGTGCAAAGTAACGTGCACGAAGTCGGGCTCGACGAACTTTCCTTGCTCACTATGCAAGGTTCATAAGGACAAGCTTTCGTTGTTCACCGACCGCATTCAAGCGCGGACGCCATCGGAGCAACGCGCCATTGTTCTCTCGGTGCGGACAAAGACGATCCAACCGGATGGCAATGACGCCATTTCGACTCACCCGGTCCAGGTATGTTCCAAACTCCCCTTCCATTTTGAATTATGTTATAACCCTCGTCTAACTATCGTATGCTATATACGTGCAAAGTTACCTTTGGGGATGGCGGTGGGAAGCGGAGAGCTTGCTCAACCCGTATCTTGCGCTGCTTCCTGATATCATGCATCAAGCCGACCTAGGCCTTTTCGAGCACATTGTGGATAGCATTCGAGCGCACATTAGGGAAAACTATCCCAGGAAGATGAAGTTGCTAGATCAACGTCTAAAACAACTTAAAAAGTCCACACGTGGTGGATGCATGAGGCTGCCATCGGGTGAATACTTCGCCAAAGGTGCCAATTACCAAGCGTTCGAGCATCGTTCTGTGATGCAGGTTCTGCCCTTTATTGTGAAAGGGTGCATTACGGATGACCAAATGGAAGCTTTGGTTTCGTACATCGAGTGGTACTTGGAGTGCGCACGTGCATGCGAGCACACCGATGGCAGTCTGCACGAATTGAAGACCAAGGCTCAACGGTGAGTTGCTTATCTATTCGACGCAGTATGACATGCCGCAATTAGCCTACTAATTCTGGGTGTGTTCACAACCCAATTGTCGCGCAGGATGCTCTACGGTTTGACTACACATTTCCCGCAGACATCGGACTGGAACTTCATCAAGATGCATCTCGTTAGCCACTTCATAGATACGATACGGCGTTCAGGCTTGCCAGACCACTACTCTGCACAACTCTACGAGCACTTGCACATCGAGTACATAAAAACTCCCTATCGCTCCTCGAATAAGCGTAGTGTGAACGCGCAGGTGGTACAGAGTGAGGTACAGCGCTTGCGTTTGCAGTCCATTGCACCCATGCTAGCCAAGAAGAAGACGTACGACACAGCCATGATCAAGGTGAGCTAATTCCTCTATTCGCAAGTGTGCATGTCAAGTACGACTTGAATCTCAAACACGCATGTGCATTGCTATTAACGTCTGCAGGCACAGCGGACAGGCGTGCGTGTGCTCTCGCAACGATCTTGGCTCCTACACGTCCCTCGCGGTCGGACAGTTGCTCCTTTTTGCGTCCTGAACGTCACACAACCGAAGCATGACGAGAAGCTGGAGAAGGAGATTGGGGCAGATTTGGCACACCTAAGAGCGGCCCTTGACGCTGCCCCTGCCTGCAACAACCAGGGGTCGAACATCAAGAGCATACAGGTACAATGTTTTTATACTATAGAATACCATTCACTAGGGCGACATCACCTCTAAGCCCATTGTTTTTGTAATGTCTGCAGGTACACTGGGAGTTGGCCATGCCAGCAGCAGTTGACGCGCAGTACAGCCGACTGCCCCATCGTGTACGTGCCCTGCCAATACACCATGGATGTCCATGGTACTCAGACGTGGTGGTGAAAGGGGAGATCGACAATGGGACGGAAGAGTGGTACGCTAAGGTTCTTTTACTATTTCACTGCAAAGTAGATGGGAGGACCATGGAGTACGCATATATCAAGTACTACCTGATTCAACCTAGAAAGGATAAGTTGACGGGGTGCACTAGACTTAGGTGGCCTGCAGTAAGGCAGCGTTACCGGGTCATCAAGATACATAGCATCAAACGAGCCGTTCATCTCGTTCGGCCCGTTGGTGAGGTGGATTCCTGGTTGGTAAACCGTTTTGCATGGTGACTTCTGAATACTATGACATCCTAGATGATACAAAGGTACTGTAGATGATTGAAGCATTTATTACATACTAAGAATGCTAGTCAGGTAAGATGTCATTCACCATAACTGGAATCGAGTTGTGATGTTCCGAAAATGCAAAAAAAAACATTGGAATCTGTGCAAGGATAGGCCTGTGTGCAACATGTAAGCTCGCCAACGTCTAGATGCCTTTTTTAGTCATATTTCATCACACACCTCCCTAGTACATCCTATTCCATAGCCATAGAAGCTGGTTTGACCTCGTTCGCACAACTACGCAGCACGTGGCGCCTGTTTGTGCGTTTGCTAGCCTGAATCCGTGCAAGGATAGGCCTGTGCGCAACATGTTACTACGCCAACCTCCGGATGCTTTTTTAACCACTGTTTATTCACACGGATTCCTAGTACATCCTATTCCCTAGCCATAGGAACTGGTTTGATCTCGTTCGCACAACTACGCAGCACGTGGCGCATGCTTGTGCGTTTGCTGGACTCAATCTGTGCGAGGATAGGCCTATGCGCAACATGTCCCCGTCTCAACGTCGGGGTCTTGTTTTTACCTATATTTCTTGACACAGTTCCCAAAAATATTATATTTCCAAGCCATCTTTTGCTCTGACATAAGGAATTTATACCGGACACTATTTTCGCAGCTTGATGTGTCGTGTTACTGTCACATATATTTCGGTTAACACCTAGATTTAGTCGATTACCTACATTTCAAAAGGTCTAATGATTCGCGAATTGCTAAAGATGATATCAAAAAACACACTCAAGGTGCAACCAAAGTATACAAATATTATGTAAGTTATGGGCACTACTCTGAATAGTTATAATTTAACCAGGCTATTCGTGCGTGTGTTACGCAATGTACATTGCGCCATCAGAGGCAAATTACATTGCATTACTATGTTGGAAACACCTTTCGGCGGCCACGTCACGTATGCCAACAGCTGGCAAAACACACCTTTTAGTGGCCAATGGGAAATCGCCGCACCGAACCAACGCTCTATCCCAGCCACGTTCATAGAACTGCCGCTGTGCTGGATAGGGTTAGGGGTGTCACCCTCGAGTAGTTGCCGCGTGGCTTTGTATGCGTGGCTACGTCACGTGCAATGAACCTGGTTGCGTGGTTGCGTGATCAATTTCTGTGCTGAGTTGTGGTGCCCCACTCTCGAAACTTCCAATCAGATGGTGTGCTGGACAGGTGAAGATTCCATCTCGATCGAGAGCCACATTTCTGCTGTCGTGATCATCTGACGGTCTCGACATAACCAGCTGACAGCATTTGCACTGACGGTTGCGATGCTATCGTACGTTCATCTCAGCAGAATCATGCGCCGTCATAATCATCTGACAGCTCTGGACCATGGAGGTGTCAAGATGCTCGCACCGCATGCGGCGTGGCCAGCCGACCTCGCGCAAGTCAACCAATCAACGGATTCCGAGACGTCGTTGCGCGTTTTTTTTTTGTGGTTTTTGCTGAAATCGCACCCCCGATGAGCAATAGGTGGTCGAAACGTTTTCGTGCAAGTTTTGAGGCCTCCAAACTCGAATGAAACCTGGTATATGAAGTGGTTTTTTCCACAGATGACAATATATCGTCGTTTAAGATGGGGGAAGTCAAAGGAACAAATTACCGGGCAGGCAATGGGCTGACCAGAAGGGTTCAGGCAGCTGGCGAGGAGCTGGAGGGGGTCACGCTTCCATCACCATTTGCAGCAAAAATGACAGAAGCTGAAGCTGACGAACTCGTCAACAGCCAGCGTGCCCTCTACCGGCACGCTCTCAAGCGCCGTGAGACCATTGTTAGCAACTCTGGCAAGAAGAAGTGTACCAACACCCTCTCAGGTGTGCCTGCACCTAAGAAAAAACCCCGCGCTGCTAAGTCCGGTAGACAGAAAGGCAAGCAGGGGAAGAAGGCAGGAGCTA